AGTACTTTGAAGGGGACAATATCACTTTTGATGAATAAACTTGTATTTTGAATTTTCTGAATGAATTCCGGAAACTTTTTGATCAAGCTAGTATTCCATTAGATACAACAGATTGAATAATAATGAGAGATAGAATTTCTATCGTTTCCAACAGAATATAAATCTTATAAAAGTCAATAAAATATGATAGGATTTATATCGAAAAATCAACAATACAGCTCATAGAAAACGATACAAATTGATAGAAATTTTATCGCTCTCAATCGTTCTGTATCAACTTTTTTTACAAGGAAACCTTGCTCCTAAACGGGGTAGGAAAGATGGGGAAACTTCGCTTTGTGTGGAAAGTCTAACGCCCCTAAGCAGAGGGGAGTGGAGTGAACTTTGCTTCGCGTGGAAAGTTGGATGTTTCTGGGTGGGGGGGGGGGGGGGGGAGGGGGGGGAGCCGATAGCAGTAGACTTCGCATGAGAAGTCGAACGCCCCCAGGAGATAGTCGAAGTGGACCTTACTTAATAAGATCTTTATAATTGAAAGTTATATGAAGGAAATTGTGAAACAACATATTTGTTCTGGTAAATCAAATGAAGTCCTGATGAAAATTGTTCTCATTTTTATATGAATTGGAACATTTTTCCGAAATACTCAAAAATATTCAGAAAGTTTACATTTTCTCTCAGAATTTTTCATACAAGTGAATTCTGAAATATTTTGAAATTTCTCATCTCATAATTTTTAAAAAATACTTTAAAATTTTTTAGATTTCATAACATTTCATCAGAAATTATAATTACAAAAAAATCTTAGAAATCTTATGATATTTTATAATTAATATATATGAAACATTCTGAGAAAAAAGTTGTAGATTTTTTCAGAAAAATTCCAATTCGTATAAAAAAATGTGAGAAAGTTAAAACTATATAAAAATTCTGAAAAATTATATAGAAATTCTGAAAAATTATATGAAAAATTCTGAAAAAAATTTTTTTTCCAAGGAGAACTATTATAACTATTATAACTTAAATATGGCAATGTATTTTCTTTCCAGTGTTATTATTTTGGAAATTCGAACATGTGTGCCTAGTAAACGAGAAATTATTGAAAAATGTTGAAAATTATTCATTGAAGCGATGGCGACATTGTCGAATCAAATTTTTGAATTTTTTAATCCGTTTTCTACCCGTAATCCGAATGAATCAATAATTAATTATTTGCTTCAAAAGAAGAAAGAAGTATCTCACCCAATGCATAAAAATGAAATATGCAACCAATTCGGTTGAATCTATAATTATTGGTAATTTACTTTTGGTATTTTACCCATTGTTCAACACAATGAACGTGCGACTAATTCGTTTGAAAATTTAATGTGTGATATTAAAGAATTGTCTAACATAGTGGAAGACCCACCCAATTGCGGCAAATGATATCGTTGAAAAACACGTATCGAAGTGATATACATAAGTCGTTGCCTCCCAAACAAAAACTCCGGTGTGATATACAGAATGTGTAACATTGCGAATCCACGATGATAATTTCTAGACATATCCTGGCCACGATAGTGCAGATTATATTCGGAAGTTACCCTATCATTGTGCATCCGTAATGTTGTGTATTTTGTATAGTACTAGGGCTCATTCGGAAAGGAAGATATATGTGTGATCACCTGTGCATGTCTTCTAACGATAAATCTGAGATCGCAAATCAGCATTTCATTTCTGAATCTATATAAATCCACTAGAGTTCATATTATTATATTTATCTAGACGTATTCAGAAATGGATTCTATGTATTTAGTTTCTACAAATTCAATACCTTTTTCGCGGATAACGCGAATTCGAAATCTTGACTCGTACAGATTTATCCAATCCAATTTGTTCTCATTTGCTGGGTATGTAAACATCAAATCACGTGAAACATTATGTGAAACCAGATTCACTCCTTATTGTTGAAATATGTACAATATATAAGTATTAACAGACTTTGATAATTAATAAAACACGAGACAGATCAATAACAGTATCTACAACGCAGATCGCAATGCGCAATTAATTTAACATATTATAAAATTGATACATACATTTTAAATTCTAAATACAAAGTTTCAATTCATGTATATTTATAAAATTTCAATTTATGTAAATATACATGAATCGAATTTTAAATGTATTTAGAATTTAAAATATATGTATGTTTTATTTATATGTGTTGTAATCTGCATTGTACTCTCATTGACCTGTCTGTTTTAAAATATGTACATCATATTCAAAACTATTTATTCATAAGAATTGTTTTGCTAATAATTTTTTAATAAGTAAGCGGCGGAAAAAGTGAATAATTTTGATCTCTTTGAGGGTCAAGATTAAGGTCGGTGTCTCTCGGAGACCATTTGGGGCTGACTGTGTAAGAAGAAAATAGTATCAAATCATTTATAACTAGTTCTTTTAATTGCTGATTATAAGCCTTGTATATAGTTTATTACTTTCCAAATATACGAATTTATTATTAGTAACAGATTTTTAATATTCTAATTATGATAATTCTACTTAAATATTATCTAATGCAAGTGTGATTACAGTTCCAGCAATATAAAATAAGTGGACATCCAAAAGCATTAGACGATAGACCAAAAGAGAATGGACAGACAGACGAAGGTCAGCAACAGAATAAGGTATAAAAAATTGTATTATCAATACGATATTAATTGAACCATATGCGCACCAACATTCACAGATACATACGCTTTTCATACTTCGCACCGATCATGGATAAGTGGAGGAGTTTAAAATCTGTCTGAAAATCGTAAAATGCATTTATGGAATTTTTTTTATTTTGCATGCTCATGTTTAGCATATGTATTGTTCTTCCCTTACTTGTTGATATTTCAAGTCCCTTACTTGAAACTTTAGTTTCTTTATATTATTGAAGTTTATAACATTCTAGTTTGATCGAAAGCGTAAATTGAATCCGCATTATTGATATACAATTAGTGTACATTTATATTTTTTCTGCAATATGTACATATCTACTTAAATACTAATGTTTTTTTTATCATTGTCATTAACATAATTATCATTAGTGCCGTAATTTTATAATTGTATTATCTTTTGTCATTTTATTGAAATCTTTTCCGTGTTTTATATTGTATAAGATATTAAAGACTGCATAAGATTTAAAATTCTCATGAACATTTACGTAAATATGTTTCGAATTTTTCGTAACATTTATACAGGTGCACTTTTATCTCAGATGATATATGAAGTATCGTGACATAAATCACTTTTTATTTGTCATTCATTGATTCGCTGCATCCACGAGAATGTATCTATCATAATCTTGCATGATAATCGTACAGTCGCGTAGTCGTGTAGTATAGATGTAGTTTTGGGAATTGCGCGGCGATGCAGGAGAGGCAATGCGAGCGAGGCATTCTGAATGTAGTGTTGTGATCGGGCAGAATGAGACTGAGCAGGCAGCAAGCCAGCCGCAGCAGCAGCAATACCAGCAACATCAGTTGCAGCAGCAGCAGCAGCAGCAGCAGCAGCAACAACAATCGGTACAAAAACCAGGTACAGAGAAGTCCACTGAAGTTGGCAGTAGATTGAGCAATGGGAGTCTCGATCCAACTGAGCAGGATTCAGCAGTACGAGTAATAGATTTGCAAGCTACTCTCGACAAGCAGGTATGAATTAGTATTATATGGCGGAACGATAGAAAAAAATCAACTATTAACACAGAACTTGACAGGTAGTTTTCCATCTCTGTGTATGTTGACTATATAAATAAAAAAAAATCATGACTGATTCTTATAATTTTATTCTTGCAATATAATTTTCTTCCAATTTTTAATTACACCTCTGGTAAAAATTTTTCTTATAATTTTTAATTTTAAACATTTTATAGAAATACTCAGAAATATTCAGAAAATTTATTAGGTGTACAAATAAGTTTCCGCTTTTTATCAAAAATTAAGCATTTATTGATGCGAAATTGCTTGTTGAGTCGCTCCTAATGTAAGTGCAAGTTCTTTTTGCGTTTGGCACGAATCTTCATTCAATAATGCTTCTAATTCCGCGTCTTCGTATTCACTTTCGACCTTCCGATACGTTCTTTGTCTTCGACGTCAAATTCACCGTTCTTAAATTTTTGAAATCATTCACAACTTCTCTCACTTAAGGCAGCTTCACCATATGCTTCTACAAGCAATCGATGAGCCTCAGCTGCAGATTTCTTCAAATTAAAGAAGTAAATCAAAAGTTCTCGCAAATGACGCTTATTCGGCTCAAAACTCGGCATTTTCGCACAAAAAAAAATATATGATGCTGATATCGCTAGTATTTCAAGGTTATGTTGTTGACAGATGTTCAACCTTACGATATAATGTTTTATCATCAGACAATTTTAATCATAGCTTGCTAGTGGCGCCGTCTTTTGTCAAACGGCGGAAACTTATTTGTACATCTAATACATTTTCTCTCAAAATTTTTCATATATGAATTCTGAAATATTCTGAGGTTTCTTATCCCATAATTTTTAAAAAATATGTTTAAATTTTTTAGATTTTATAACATTTCATAAGAAATTTTACTTACAAAAAATCTTAGAAAATCTTACGATGTTTCATAATTAACATATATGAAAAATTCTGAGAAAAGACATAGATTTTCTGAAAAGTGTTTCAATTCGTATAAAAAATATGAGAATGTTATAAAATTATATAGAATTTCTGAAAAATTATATGAAAAATTTTGAGAAAAATTTTCACCGAGGACATAAATATGCACATGCGCGTATTTACGCACACGCATGCGTATGTATATGTACAATGTATACAATGTACACAAACAGACGGAAGAAGAGAAGAAAAAGGAAAGAAAGAAAATGGGAAAAAATCATTAAAAATACCTGAATTAATTTTTTATTTACTGAATATATAATAAAATGTTAAAACCAAAAATTGAATTATTCGAAAGGACAATTCCCAGCATCGAAAGATTACACCAATGTTGCAGAAATCTTTCTTTGCAAGATTGCAATGTTGCAGAATGTTGTAAAATATGACTGTAACATTGCTGTAACATTGCACACGATAAAATGTTCACTTTAGAAATGTTGCAATGTAATATTGCAGTAACATTATAATTTAATATGTACTCTTAAAGAATTATATAATAAAATAAATTTTTTATGTGATATTAGCTCATAGATTTTATAAAAATGAATCACCGACCGGGAATTTTGGTTTGCAAACCGTATACGTCAAGAAGTATTTTTTTATAATAGTGTCAGTGAATACTGTAAAAAAAAATTGTTTTTGTTAAACTATATACAATCACAAATTACTTAGAATTATGATATCTCAATGACCCCTGATATCTTAATCGACCGATTCCTTAATTACAATTTCTATGAGTACTATTCTCTTTGGCTGACAATTTCCAAATGACGACAATGGCTATGTTTACATCGTGCTTCCCAATCAACAAAGAAATGTTTCTGAAATGTTTTTTAAACATTTTTTTATTGCAAAAGTGTTTAAAAAACCTTTTTAAAAATATTTAATTAATGGAATAGATCCTTTTTTTAGTAATTAAAAAGACGTTTTTGTTACATTTAAAAAATATTTTTTAACGTTCAAAAAACGTTTATTTAACGTTTGAAGAAACATTTCTTTGATGTTAAAAAAACGTTTTTTAATGTTAAAATTATTTAAACAAAATTAGAAAAAATAATAATATAAAATCGTTCTTTTAATTAATTTTTTTTTATTAACAATGCCTAAACCTCAGACAATTAATTTTAGTTGTTAATATAATTAGAATAATAATAATTATTTCTAATTATATTATTAATTATTTATAATATAATTAGAATAATAATAATTATTTCTAATTATATTTTAATCTTTTTCACTTTACCGCATGCAGTCAAGTTTTGAACCAGGGACCTTCGGGTTATGAGTCTCGTACCTTAATCATTACGTCACTTATGACTATCGATGGACACAGTTCTTATTGTCCATATATGTATGATATACTTAACGCAATTATATTATGTTAACTTTTCTTCCGTGATTATTTTATTATTCCGATCCGTTCTTTATTAATTTGAGTTTTAAAAAATAATAACATTTTTCACATATTTATCATAAAATTAAATAAACATTTTTTTTAAATAAATAAATAACAAAAAACAAACATTTAATAAATGTTATATAAATGTTTAAAAAAATGTTTACTTTAAAAACGACTCATAAAATATAAAATTCGTTACAAACAAACGTTTAAAAAAACATTAAATAAATGTTTCTTTAAATCATTATTTCAAACAAATAATTAATGTGAAATAAACATTTTTCTAAACGTTAAATAAACGTGAAGTAAATATTTCTTATCATCACATTTTAGATGAATAAATAATTTAAAATAAACATTTTATAAACGTTAACGTACAAACATACGTTTACAAAATATTCCTTCCAATCTTTATTTCAAACAAATAATTAATGTTGAATAAACATTTTAAACAATCAATTTTGCAAAACACAAGTGACTTTTTTTGCTTATGCTATGAATCACGTAGTTAGTTTTCAGTGCATGGGCGGAGGCTGACTTGGCGCATGCAAACCGTTTATAACAATTTTTTGCATAAACAAAGCTCCGAATAAAAAAAATACCAAGAATAAAAGAAAAATAAAAACGAACATAGAATTGAATGGCACTTTTAATTTAAAAAAAATGGGTATTTTTTAAGAATTTTTTTAAACAATTATCGTTTAAACAATCAATTTTGCAAAACGAAAAAATACGGGTAATTTTTTTCGCTTACGCTATGAATCACGTATTCAATTTGACGCTATCTTATGGCTGTATTAGGCATTAGTAGTACTGTAGTCCTATAGTACTGTAGGGCCTTAATGAGTTAATACCTGATGACTGTTTTTTTTTATGTACAATATATCATCTCAGATTTACGTGTACCTTCTGATCCTGAATTTTCTGTCCTTCACTTAAATACATCATCCTCATTACATTCATTTAGTTAGGAAAAATTATTATTGTCTATATTTGAGAATTGTCAGCTAAAGAGAATTGTACACATAAAAGTTGTAATTGGAGAATCAGTTGACTGAGATATCAAAGGTAACTCTAAGTTATTATTTTGTACTTGCATATATTTTAACAGTTGTTTTTTTTCTTTTTTTTACAATATTTAATGACACTATTATAAAAATATTAGGTGTTGGAATTAATTCGTAGCGTTTTTTAATGAAAGAATGTTATTTATTTCACATGAGCATTAAAAAATACATTAATGAAAGTACTTCCCATCACTTGTAAAACGCTACGAATTAATACCTAATAGTTCCAATACCTAATAGTTCTTGACATAATTTGTAAATCAAGATTTCCGGTCGGTGATCGGTATATATATATATATATCTTCGTACAAATTATTATCTATATTTATATATAAATAAAAATTTTTGTATACACAAAAAATGGGACAGAACTATTTAGAATTACATAATAGATTATATACATAATTATATAATAGATTATACATAATTATGTATATTTTTGAAATATTAAATAGTATTTGCAGATTATACATATATTGTAAAAAATTACCAAAATACTTCGTGATGTCATTCTAATGAAAGATTTTTTTATGAACACAATTATTTAAGCACAAGTTTAAATAATAATATACGTAAAATTGATTAATATTTTATAAAACTTAATAAATCACAAAATGTGCATACATACAAAGTATTTAGGGATAATCAGTAGCTCATTTTCACAATTTTCTTTAAATATTACTGCAACATTATTAAAATCATGTTGCATATCTACAATTAAATGTTTCTGAAACACTACATTGCAATATGCAATATTGTTAAGTTGCAATAATATTCCTGCTAACTTTTGTGTTCTATGAGTTATATGATGATAGGAATAAATTATATCATGTTTTTTAGAAGATATCATCATCAACGACATTTTTCTAAACAAATATAAATATTTTTGAGCCGGTATCTGTTTGCGCTACCATAATGTACAGTTTTATATAATGTAATACTTTTGACCAAGATTAAGAATGCTTTATTGAATACACCCAGTAAGCAAGAAACATTAGATGAACATTTTGAAATATAGATTTTGTGAATTTCATCAACGGCTAATATTTTATAAATATGATTGTAATATTGCTAATAATATATTTCCGAACTGTTAAGAAACGTTTCAATAATATAAATTTCAAATGTTTTGCAACTATAACACAGAACGTTGAAAGAACGTTGCTGAGACATTGCAATGCTAGATGTTGAAAGTGTAAATATTTTTTTAACGTTGAATCTTTGTTGATTTTCCTATATTATCAACATCCTATATTATCACTTCTCGACTGATTTTCGACTCAGCTTTGCCTTCCGTTATTCCCTTCACGTCATTGTCCCGCGCGCGCAGTCTTACAACAAAAGGAAAAATGTTTCAGACAAAAGTTGTATGATTCGAAGGGGAACAAATAATGAAATCATTTTTTTTTAAATCGATTTTTCAAGGTCACATGGAGGTTATTTCCACTTTTTAAAATGAAATGGTATGATTTTTTTTCACACAATATTCCTCTAATTATTTTGCATATAAAAGTATGAACAGAATAATGAGATGAATCAGT